CACCCTACCCTCGAACCGTACCACCGTACCGTACCTCATTAGCGTCGTGCCGTTCTGAGTGTACCAGCGTACCACCGTACCGTACCACCGTACCCTCGTACTGTACCACCGTACTGTACCTCATTAGCGTCGTGTAGGGCCGTGCCGTTTTGAGTGTACCAGCGTACCACCGTACCGTACCACCGTACCCTCGTACCGTACCACCGTACCGTACCTCATTAGCGTCGTGTAGGGTCGTGCAGTTTTGAGTGTACCTATTCATTCTAAGCTTAGGTACACTCAAAACGGCACGACCCTACACGACGCTAATGAGGTACGGTACGGTGGTACGGTACGAGGGTACGGTGGTACGGTACGGTGGTACGGTCCAAGGGTACGGTGGTCCGGTGGTACGGTGGTTCGGTTTTATGGTGGTACGGTTTTATGGTGCAATGATATATACATGATGCTACAATAATATGGTACGACATACGATGGAATGGCAGAGTGATGATGCAGTATAAGATGTACACAATATATAGCACGGCACGGAATCACAAGAACATTGAGCAAAATAATAACTGAAACAAACTTTAACCTTATATTTGTTGGGGGATTTAGGGCCAAATTTAGGGGGTGTGGAACCAGACTCACTGCGCAGATGGATGCAAATGGTGGGCACAACTGCAATTTCACTGGTCCCTGTGGATCCATGCAGAGGATAAGAGTGTCACTTGGGCACTGCCAGGGGTCTAATCCATGAGCGTTTGCTCAAGGAATTCTAGGATGTGAGAAGGTCCTTATGGGCGAAGTGTGCCGTGATTGATGGATTCTGATTAATTTTCTGAGATAATGGTCCCATGTAAAATATGCTTCTATCGGACCCACCCCCCTGAGAACGCGGGGCCGCCACCCACACCCAAACATTTTCTTGCAGAGTCTTGTCGGGGCAAAGCTAGAGTTGTTGACTCACATGCTTGGTGTTGGTGTCTAATATTTGAAAATATTTGTTGTAACGACCACTCAACCCAAAGCATGCATCATGTCGGTACACCGAGCATGCCTCTGTGAAAATGTGCGTCTTGTATCGTAGCGTCTTGTGTTTAAACCTTCGTTTGCTTTCTTGTTGATTACATGTCCTTTGGCTGCTCGATGGATGCTGTCAGCCAGTAATCCGATTCAGATGAACATGTTTCCTTTTAAGGTTGACAATGAAAATTTTGGTGATGAGTGCTGTCTCCTCGCTACTCGGGGAAGATTGTGGACGTGATTTGCCACCCTCAAAGGAACTAGGATATTTTGAAACCATCCCCTGACATCACCGGTACCACCACCTCAGCAATACAGTCTCTACACCTGGTGCAATTACAAAACATCAGAGTTGGTGGTTGCCCTGAAACTCACCCCTAAAACTATTTGCACATGCAATGCAACAGGTTGATTTTTACCTTTCTTTTCTTTGCTCACTCGATATCACTTGATATCAAATGTTGATGGTGTTGTTGAGACAAAACAAGCCAAGTGTCCTTCAAATCGTTTACATGGGTTTTTGAAAATGTTAAACGTCCAAATAATTTCAATATTCTTACGTTTGTCAGTTTGTCCTCAAGCCACGCCCCGTGGCCCGGGCAAAACACAACTTGACACAAATCTCACCATGACCAAGCTCTCGACTACATGCGTTTAATCCACAGTGTGAAGCAATAAAACTGATTCGAATGGTTAATGGTACATCAAACGAAAACTCAAACATAATTTGGCAAAAACAAATTTCTAGTAGGCTGCTGGAAAATCTGATCAGGACAATGTAGCGAAATTCGCTAGCATAATTCAGAACCAAAATCGTCTGAACACATATTTTCATGTATGTTCAATCAAACTGCCCCTGCAACCACTGCAACGGGAAGCAGACGACATGGTAAAAAAAATGTAAAGAACATAAGAAATCCAAAAATATTTGTATCAGCTGTTCGTACAGTTGTCTGCCGGTGTTCTGCCAAAAAATATATCACCCACCATCTTATCTGAATGAAAATTAACAGGTTTGAAAATTCTCATCATCCTTGGAGTCAACAACCCATATATAATAGCCAACAACCACACCACTCAGGATTTATGGGTTTGATCCCAAAATCAATTGTCATCAACGGTGTCACCCTTGACAAACAAAATCACATCATCTTGAATGCATCAAGCTAATACACATAATTACAGTACAAACCAAGAACTGGAACATTCATAACAACAGTTCCCTTCAATTTGCCTTGGTTTCCTTCCTTTGCCGCTGAGTACCAACAATATTACATTATTGCACCAAATTCAATCAACATACAGCATGCTGTACATCATCATCATCATATACCAAACTAAATCCCATATATACCCTTAAAAAACACAATCATCACTCTAAACAATGATATAATATAAGGTATCAGATGAGAATAGCATATAGACGCGCAGTACAGATAGATGAAAAACATTAAACATCACGTAACTTCAAGTGGCCTCCGAACCCACTATCAGTCATCAAATAGGTGATAAATATCTTTAGCTTATCAAATGTCCTTTCTCACCAGGACATTATATTTATATATATATTATATATGTATATATATATAAATTATCGCACTACACCATCGCACCATCACCTCCTACTACCGTACCATCGCACCTCCCATGCTACCATCGCACCTGCCACTGTATCATTCCACCGCACCTGCAACCGTACCATCGCACCACACCATCGCACCTCACATCCTATCATCGCACCTTCCATCGTACCATCGCACCGTACCATCGTACCATCGCACCGTACCATCGCACCTCACATCGTACCATCGTACCATCGCACCGTACCATCGCACCGTACCATCGCACCTCGAATCGTACCATCGCACCGTACCATCGCACCTCGCATTGTACCATCGCACCGTACCATCGCACCACCGCACCCAACCATCGTACGTACCCAACATCCATCATACATCCCAAAACGCATTTACACCTATCTTAAACTTTGATAATATATATATATATATATTATATTTATAGTGTCAAAAATATCATATAGTGTGTTTTTAATATCGGGTGCTGTTTCGAATCGTAATTGTAATATCCGTCACTTTTCAGAGTTCCGCTGAAATTGATGCTCCAGGGTTTATGAAGCTGGGGTTGACATAAAGCTGCGGACCTTTGATTGAGCTCCCTGAAACTGGATCTTTCCCAGGGGTCTAAAGGCTGACCCAACCAGAAAATCCTTATTTGTTAATAAGATAACGGTTGAATCCCCATGTCGGATCCTCAAAGACTTTTTTGTTCGGCTGAAAAAAAACATCTTGAACCCCATCCATTCACGGTTATACATCTAGCTGTGCAAATGATATTCCTTCCCTCATTTGGCATGATTCCCCACTGATCATCCACAGTGAGATCACAAATATATGTAGTATGATTATCGTCACTAATTATCATCATATTTTCATTGATTATCCATCATATTTTCATATTATCTAATCAAAATAACTGATTATCATCATATTTTCTCGTGAGAACGATATATCCAAATCTAGTAATCCCGCCTGAAACAGTCCGTATTGATTGGCAGCTTCGTGGAGCCAAAGGCCGGCGCCGTGATGAGTTGCAACAACACTGACACACCTGGAGGCTAGATCTAGTGGTTGAGCCCTCAGAAAACTATGAAAGTCAGTTGGGATCATCATCCCATATTAATTAATATATGGTCCCATATCTATGGTTGAAAAGAAAGATGTTTGAAGATCCAACAGATCTAAGTACAGTCGTTGAAGGAAACCTCAAACCTGGCAGTTCTTGGAGAGAAAGAAAGGGCAGTTCAGCATTTTGACAGGGGATTCAAGCATCAAAAACAGGATCAACTTGGAACACCTAGGTTGATCCCTGAGACGGGGTATCCAAAGTATCCACCCCCTATGGAATGAGTCATAGCCAGGTAACCAGAACCCATAACTTGAGTAGGGTTTTGACCAAAATCAATGCTTTTTTGATCATTCACAACTGGGAAACCAACCAAATCTGAGCAGCGACTCTCATAGAACCGCAGATGAAAAAAGGGGGAAGATCTCATGAACCTTCCGTATAGCGATGCTTGATTGCTAGACGGTTGAAGATTTCTACAGCATTCTCAGAACCTTGGACTTCCTATTAATATATTGAATTCAAATCTCTGTGTGGCTGCGCAGATTAGAAAATAGTGGTATCTAATACTGTTGTATTGGCCTGTGGGTCTTGCAATCAACACTTGCCTGGGGTCTTGCAAGTCAGGCAAGCCGGTCCAGGCACAAGCACACTTTTGCCCTCGCACCAGGACAGCCTCTCGAAACAAAATCCCTCAGTTTGAATTGGTCAGCATTCCTTAGAATGTCTGATTAATATCTCACTGGACTTGTCCACTTTTATCTGAAACCATACAGCCATACATCACGGTAAAGATGCGAGCTGCTAACTGCATGGCAAGTCCGAAAGATCTTTAGCCGATCCGGCGAGGTTGGAGCTTCGACCATGGCCAGGGCAGCCAGGCCATGGGAAAATATGGCTGGTATGCTGGTGAGCCCTAAAATAGCTGGTAAATGGATGTTCATGTGCCCAAATATATTCAAATATGGTATATATAGATGTATATAGTAGGCTTTAACCCATCCTCATACAGCTACACCATCAGATACAGCAGAATATAGATGCACACAGCAATAAGTTTACGGAGCCAAACCAAACAAAACACGTGCTCAAGGAGTGGACGAGGTGCGTGCGTCTTTGAAAAGACTCCTGGCACTACTACTACTACTACTACTACTACTACTCCTACTACTACTCCTGCTCCTACTACTCCTGCTCCTGCTGCTGCTGCTGCTGCTGCTGCTGCTGCTGCGGCTACTACTGCTACTACTAGTCCTTTCTAAAGAATATCTTCAAACCAGTTTCATCACAGCCACAACCTGGCTCCTGCGCTCCGGGTGGAGGGCTAGCTATAGCACTCTCCACCTGACTCAGTAGGGCTGGTAGCGGTCCTGGTCAGCCCGGTCAGGGCACCCTCGGCACGAACATATCTTGAAATGCCTAAATGGCTTTATGAAATACGAAATGAACATATTATGAAACATAGCATATGAGATATGACTTCCAAAATTAACATATGACCTAACCTTCGTGAGAAGTCCATCCATGGCAGGAAGTCTTTTACCTGGGCATGAATCAACATAGCGTTCTCCACCGTTCATGTGAGCTGGTACTTGGGATGTCCAACTATTTTCAGCTGTGGCCTAGTTCAATTGGCTATGTCACCAGGTCGCAAAATGGAGGTCGTTTCCGCACATAAAACTGGTGTCATCTACTGTACCAAAACCCTGGCCATCTATAGTAGATTTGGGGTCTAAACTTTGCATATGTCCCGTCTTTGGCTAGTTGTATTCCTGGTTGCAGTCAAGTTCGAGGCCCCTCTCCCCTAGTTTTTGTATGACATTCATGTTCCTGTTCTACAATGAGAATAATATGTTGTATACCGTGAAAGGCAAATGACTCACTTTACTCACCAGTTTGTGGTGATGATCCGCAATCAACCCCGTGGTAATCCATTGAGCTTTTCAGGGATAAGTACAACAATTACTTCCACTAAATTTCACATGGAACCCCAAAGTGGACATTTTGGCTCTTCCATGCATGTAAGCCTCAAATTTGGGTCTCCCCGACTTTGGCACAGCCAAGAATCTCCACCCTTGCCACCGGCCATAGCCGAAAACCAACCCATGTTCGACATGTACCTACGGCGCGGAGCACTGCGGTGCGGAGACGTGGAGATCATGAAAAAACAAAATCAGGCCGGAAACAATGACCAAATGACGCGTATCAAAATCCAATTCAACCCAATCTGAATACCCTCCGGTAGTAACACATGGCAATTGGCAAAAAAAGAAAAACCTATAAATGACTATACCCGGGGCGAGGTTTATAGTTAGGAAAATCATCGACAAATGGTGGATTTTCCATTGCCATGTCTGATCAAAAAGTATATGTACATACAACATATCAGGCTGAATTGTGTTGAATGGTGATAAGTCACCAACGTCAAAAAAGTTCGGTCATTTCTGGATGAATCCCCAGCACTACAATCAGCAATCGAGGGTGCCAAACAATCACTTGGATGATTTCTTGGGGTGACTTAAGAAACATTGGTTCAACTGGCGTTGTTCTTCCTGCAGTTGCCAACGACAAAAAGGATTATGGAAATCCGGTGACCAAAACCCATCATCAAAATCTGCCAGTTGATGGTTTTCGAGTTTCACAGCTGGAAGCTTCCTCTTATGGGCATACCCCATTTATGGGACACCCGGAGCCAAGCGAGATGTATATTGATAGACACTACTTATATAAATTGGATATTATAGATAGACTTATATAATATGATATATATATATATACATATGATACCCCCCAAGACCCACCCTTTTAGTAAATTTGGCAGTATTAACAGTGTTTTTCTGACTTTAAGACTTAGGATATTTTTTCGGGATCAAACATTGCATTTGTTTTGCAATTTTGTTGCCACCCGCCCTTCCCTAAGTACATCGGAATCAAGATTCAAGATTCAAGATCCAGGCAAACCTTCTTGAATCGAAGAGGGATGGATTCAAGATTCAAGATTCAAGATCTAGGAAAAACTGTTTGAGTAACAAGTTTCAGCATGGACTTTGGCGTTTGTTGTCAAAGCAACATCCTCCAATGTAGGCCTTGTGTAGTAGTATTTGTGAACATTACATTCCTTGCATAAAGCCGCATCATTCCTTGCATAAAGTGACATCATTCTGTACAGTCACCTTACATAGAGGAGTGCAGCATTTCTTCGAAAGGAATATAGAGTTATTTTCAATGAGACATTACAGCTGTGCAAAGTCATAAAGGAGTGCAGCATTTCTTTGAAATGAACATAAACCTATGTTCAAAGATACTTATAGCTGTGCAAAGTTCTCTTAAAGAGGTAAAGATATTCATGGAAGGAGGGCAACATTACGACAGAATGGAATCCTTCAAGTAACAAGTTTAATTAACCGATTTTGGTGTTCCTCAAAGGTGTTAGTGCAAGTATGTGCAAAGCCTCCTTCACAAGGGAGTGAAACATTTGATTGAAAACCATTCAATAATACAAAGAAACATGGCTATGAAGTAAAACCCTGGGGTGTATGTAGTACCTTGTCTTGGATTCAATTAGTTTGAAGAAGTTGAGTTTTTCCTTAAAAATGGTCAGACAAGAAAAATGAGAGGAAGGAACTCCATTAAAGGATGTACTTTATTTAGCCTGTCCACACTTTCTTTTTTTGCAGGAATAGTGCTTCTTATGTTTGAAAGAAATACTGTATGATTGAACGAAGGCCGAATAATTTTCTGAAAGGAAGACTGCACTTCTTCGGAAAGGAACACTGCATGTACATTTTTTAGGGATCCTTCTTCTTCAAAGGGTTCTCTTGTCTTACTTTATGCATTACTCTGGTTTACTGTATTTATATATTATGTATGTGTGTATTTGTTATTTCTGTGGCGTTATTCTCATCTGAAAAGGTGGGTCTTGTGGGGGTAGCTATATAATATATTTACTGTAATTATATAATGTTATATGTTACATATATATAAATATATGAGTACCAGACAAAGTTTTATGTTAAAGTTAATGCCATGCACAAAATAGGGTCGTCCCCTATTAGTTGAGAGGATTTTCAGTATTCCCGGAGGTATCACAAATGGGGTATCGGTATAGGGTCGTCCCCTATCGGTTATGAAGGTTTTGTGCAACCTTGGAAAGGCCAAGGCGAAGCAAGACTAAATTCTTATTACAATAATTTTATCAGTTACTCATGTAGTATATGTCCTCTACCTCATTGTACGCAAAATCATCAAGCCCAGACATCATCCCGCCCAACCATCTACTCAAATGGGTGTCTTGGTCGCGCCAAACAAACCTACTGTAATGACTATGGCAGCAGTGTTAAGGCTGCTATTGCGGCCGCTCCCTGGAGGAAAAAAGAGCAAGTTGGGCCGCAGTTCTAACAGCTGTTTCTGAAACAGGAAAATCAGGAAATTTATAAACTTCGGTAACCTGATGTTAAAGGTAAAATTGGGCAACGGTTCGATAGAGTCCGCCCCACGCCGCTGGTGCACCAATCCAACTCATTGCCCCCCTTTCCACCACGCATGGCACGGTCCTGGAACTCACTAATTTGGTGCATCCCAAAAGTACGGACGCTGCGAACTTAGAGACCCTGCAAACAGACTTTTAGTTGATTAAGTAGAAGTATCAGTATAATTTAATGCCCATTCATTTGTTTAAAAAAACAGGTACTGAAATATCCATCCGAGGTTAAACCATTTAATATCACACTGGGATACACTGGGGCCATCATGCCAGGTATGGGAAAAATATGTGAAACCAACCGAACTGGGATGCGGCGAGTTGACTTCTCGCTGACGAATCAATTAAATTGCTCTCTTACCCACCAAAACTCACTTGTTGGATGGAAACTTAGAAAATGCTGAGCGGTGGTTTCATGCCATCACGAAGAGGTTTCTCCATCGGGAAGATTTATCGAGGGAGGATAGACAACAAATGAAAACCACCAATCAGTTGCAAATCAACATGGGTTTGAACGATCGACATTTCCCCCGATATCTGTCTCTGTATTAATAGCCCAGTTTCCCATATTGCTGGACAGGTTTTTGGAATAAAGTGGCGGGAGTATCGTATATTTGGACATATATGTACATAAATAATACATAACATACCCACATACACACAGAAAATGAGAATCAAAAAACAAATCAGGGCAGCTATGATCTTTTAAGAATGGTAAGAGAACAGTACGGGTGCCTAAATAGGGTACTACCCAAAATCAAGACAAATCAAGTGGCAAAAATCACCCAAAAAAATAATAAGCTCCCGTTGAAGTATTCAACAACAGAGCCACAAATTGGATCAAATTAGGGTATGGCCAGTTTCTGGACTAGTCCAAATACCTGATTTTCCGGCATGGACCGGCCCAGGCTTGGTCAAATAGTTTTGCCCAAATATCATGGTTTTGTACATCCTATTCTAAATCCAACTACGATGGTTTGGAAAATCGCTCTCCCAAGATTGCCCAATTTTTGAAATATACAAATGGATGTGCATTTATCAATCCCATACATCAAGGTACGCCGTGTACAAAAAAATCATCATACTCTCGGTGAACAAAACACGCCTGCGTGGGCCGGGCTGCGGCTTTGGAGGCATCTGCCGCTGTGGAAGGAAAGATCTTAGCAGCACGTGAAGTGGGGCCCATTGGGAGCCGGGCCATGATGGCCATGAAATGGGGTGTTCAGCACCACAAAAAAACAAAATTGCTCAAAACATGGGATGGTTGTTGATTTTCAAGGCAATTGGCTTCATTTTGCTGTGTTGACGGGAGCTTTCCATAGGTTTCCCCGGCGTACATAGGGGATGATGAATCATGGGTTGACTCTATTCTGATATATGACACACCCACAACTCACAACACCTCCCGCTTCGCACCGCTCGCGACGAATTTTCCGGGGCAGGAACCTGCGGCGCTGTGGCCATGATGATTGTCTTGGTCGTCAATCCAACGTTTCATAGTCAAACTCAGAATCCACCTCCGACTCATGAGACTCATCCAGTGACTCAAGTGCCTTCTTTGGCGAAGCTTTTAAGATGCACATGCCAAGATCCAGAACTTCATCATCCAGCAACTCAACAAACTGGAAACTGTGGCATTCTTGGATCATCCCGCACCATTCCGCGCACATCTGCGGATCTGCAGCAAAGGAGACACCATCATAGAACACGAATTCATCGTCTTTGTTCTGGTGACCCAATGAGACGTTGGCACGCGAGAGTTCCAGATATGCATCAGGTTCATCGTATACCGGGCGTCTATATTGAGGTTCAGGAAGTGATTCTTGCGAAGTGTCCACAGTGCTATCCTGGTTGGTATACATAGTTTCAACCCCAATGAACAAATATGGGTCAGTTAGGATCATCCCAAATAAGGCTGAAAACAACAGATCTTGAAATCACGAACCAGTCTCGGTCTTGGACATGAATACACTGGCTTGGAGGCACTTTCCATCCAGCTTCCACTGGCCTCACATGGGATATCATGGGATCAACGGAACCTTCGGGGCCTGGGATTGAGTTTTCCCACCAAGAAAAGTGGCAAAACACTTGCGGCTGCAAACGCATCCAATGTGTAACCATCCACAGGGTACAGTCAATGAAAACAAACATTGGCATACAAAAAACAAAAAAGAAGAAGAAGAAGAAGAACAAGAAGAAGGAAAAGAGAGAAGAGAGAAGAGAGAAGAGATATGATCGGATTTTTCTGTGGATGTTCAAAAAATTGTCCCCCACAATCCCTGTGGTTTCCTCATGTGGACAAACCATCAGCTGCCGGAGGACTGGGTGTCTGTAAAGGGCTGAGATAGCCCCGCTACCTCTTTCTGCCGGGAACAGCACAACAATCGAATGCACCAACTCCAGTTTAATTTCATCCAGTCATGAGTCATGATCGGTTTCTTCCCGCACTGAAAATTATCCAATTGATTGTTTTGCATAAGCCCTGAAAATTGTGCCTGCACATTGTTTTGAGACACTAGACCGGCCAGATTTGACTAATTTTGGGTTCCACTCTCAAATTTTGGCAGCTCCCACACAATCATCTTGGCTCTCAGTGGCACTGGAAGTTCGCATCCTTCACAAAGCTGTCCTGCAGCTTCACCTGACCACCAAACCCAAGCACTTCTGAACACACTTGCAGGCTAGATGCGACTCTTCCAGTAAAGAAACAAATGGTTGTCAACATCAAGGAAAGAAATTCTGAAACCTTCTGAAACAACCCCTGGTAACTGGTTTCCCTAAAAATATGATTGTCGATTGGGAAAATAATTCTAAGATTCGCCCAGCAAAAGCACAATGTTTCCTTAGGGCCGTCGCTTATCACCATTCCTTTCCCCTTATCGAAAACGGCCACATATTATGATTATATAATATCGACCTAAAACTTCCACCCTGGTAAAATTTCTAGGCCCTGGCCTTTGGACTTGAAATTTCTAACCCCAAATTCAGTTTCAGACCCTAATGGCAATTTCAGACCCTGGCATTTTTCTACGATTTGTGATTTTGATGGTTTTGTCAATATGTTGGTAGTAATGGAAAACATGACAATATTGTTAATATCCTTGGGATTCATGAAAACATATGATATCGGTTGATCCAACCCCTTTCCACCACTTAAAAGCATACCATGTTGAAAACAGACATCCGTTGTACCTGGAACCATCCTTAAGTGTTTGAAGTTCTTGAGCGAGGGCAGCTCCGGTAGAAGTCAAAGGATCCATTCCAACCTCCCTTTTCACAATGTCCAACCCCTCCACCAAAGTATTGGTGGAATAGGCTTCGAACAGCAGTTCACAAGGCATTAGGCCAAAAGATTGCGGGGTTCACTTGGGTCATGAATAATTATGAATGAACCCGTTTAAGCACATATGTACCCATAAACTTAATATGTCTAAACATTGGTAATTCATGGTGGGCCCAAAATCCCAGACCAGAATTTCCGCCCTTTACCCGGAAATTTTCGCCCCTTAACTCTTACCCACATATGTCCGCCCCTGGTTTTTCTCGATTTTATTACAAAGTGAGTTATCATTCAAGTAAGTATGTGTGATGTTCATATGTGCATAAGTGATGTATCATGTATGAATAATTCATTTCCTTCTATGGATAACTCATGTCATTGTGTCATTGCATGTGAATAACCCATTTCCTTCTTCAAATATTTCTTGTATATTTACATAGATGAATAACTCATTTCCTTGTATGAACAACTCATTTCCTTGTATGAATAATTCCGTATATGAATGACTCATTTCCTTGTATGAAAAACTCCATATATCAACAACTCCTTCTCTTGTATGACTTTCACTAATGAGATTTGTGCAACAAAAAGACAAATCAAACCAGGGGTGAGAAGACAACCCTGATACTTCAGCGTTTGTTTTTGAGGTATAAGCTAAAATTTGGCAACTCTTGGAGATTATACATATAAAGTGTACAATATAATGTATATATATATATATACACATATATTATATACTATTATATATATATATATTATATAAATAACATATATATATAATATTATATACGTATATAAATTATATTATATTAAATCATATCATATCAAACCATATTATATTATATTATATGTATATATATGTGGTAGAAAAATATAATATATAATATAATATATGTATATATTTAGTAATATATATAAAATAATATATAATATGTATATATTACAATAATAGTAGTAATAAAAATAATAATATATATATATTATAATAATGATAATAATAATAATCGTAATAGTAATGATATGAATATGATATATATAATAATATATATAATAATAATATGATATATATAATAACATATTAATAATAATATATATAATAATATATATAATATAGATAATCTAAAATCATATATTGTTATATATATATATATATCAAATAAATAAATATATATAATATAAAATATATACTATAATATATATATATAGTATATATATAGTATATACACGTTAGATCTTCATACATATCATTACATATGAGGGTGTTCTTAAGATCAGTGACTCAGAAAATAATGAAACAACATGTTATCTTACATGTCACGGGCAACCATCGGTTTTGGGACACCCCAATTTTCCTAATTCCCATAACAAACTAAACCTTAAACCTTCTGATAACTAGGCCAGGATTTGTGGTGGTTTCATTGTCGGATGGGGTAATATAAACCCACAAACGCCCTGTACGCAATCTTCTGAAATCACCACGCCACAAGTATTGGATACTCATCCCAAATCGGGGTTTCTTTACAAAACAACTTCAAAAAAGTCAAGCAAGTGGTCACTTCTGAGAACAAATTGTAGCAACCCCAAAAAAGATAGAGAAAAACACATTTCCACTATTTTAAATTCAATTTTTACAAACAATGTTGTTCTTACATTGAGGTCTGCGAACATATATAGCAAAACAAAATGCGAGGTCACCCTTTGGGACATATATGTTACGTATCAATGTAGGGGATTCCCAAAATCAGGGACCAAGAAATCGTGAAAATTTGGTCACACTCCATGGGAAAACTAAGGAAAGCTACCTAGTCACGAGTTTAGGACCCCGACTATTATCTGGTAGTGACTTCCCCACATCGAAAAAAACATGGAAAATTGGAGGTACCCATGGTTTCCGTGGGTTTCCCACATCCACCAAGCCACAAGTTTGGGATAGCTGACATCCTCAAAGGCGTGCACTTCCACCCCCGGCAGCGCATCCGCCACCAGTTGGGCCAGGGGATCACCGCCGTTCTTCGGCTGCTGCCCGGTGGAACAGGAGTCCAGAAACACGGTGGAACGGGCTTCACCTATCGCGGGACGGAAGCCCCGAAATGGTGGGAAAATGCCAGATCCGGAGAAAAAAGTGATCAACATTTAAAGTTGTGATTTAGCCAATGACAGATTTAGATTTTACCAACAAAAATGGAGATAATATCAAACATGGTGATTTGACCAATGAAACCAAAAACATAGAAGTTAAACAAACACACAAAAAAGGGATCTATCCAACAAAGATGAGGGTGCACATAAAAAAAGGATTTGTGATAGGTATTCTGGTTTCACTAGGCTAACGGTTGGATTTATGTTCTCAATAAACCAACTTACAACTCGAGGGGCCCTTTCAAGGTCTTTCCAGCAGGAAAAATTGGTGTCAAAAAATGATAGAACATTAGAACATTGGTGGTTTCCTGCCAATGTTCCCTTCATCCAGTTCTAGGAGAATGTAAACTGGCCGTCGGTAGCGAACTTCTAGAGATTAAGTATGTTTCTACCCTCCGGTAATCAAATGTGGCAATGGAAAATCCCCGAATGAAATGGAGACTTTAATGGACTAATAAATCCATAAATTCTGTAAATGGTGGATTTTCAATTGCCAGGTCTGATTCCCGGATGGTAAATGGCCCCCAAAACCATGGGATCCAATCTTTTGAGAAACCAAGTGTAATTGAAATGTTCATCCACGAAATGGTCGCATATTTATTGCTCCATCCCCAGATGCTGCGATATTTGGGGGCAATGTTGTGTTGAATGCCCTTCCTCAATTTGCAAGTACCATGGAAATCGACGGAACATCATTTAAATCCTACAATCTACAGTATTGAACCTGGATTATTTGGAACAGAGTCACGAATAACAAGGTGTTGTTGGATGAAATCGATGGTGTCCCGAAAAATGACAAAGCATCATATCGGCTTTGGGCCATGCAGTCCTGAAATAAATCATGGGATCTTATGCCTAGGCACAAATTGAAACAACCCTGAGAAGATCTCAACCCAAAGCTGTGACATTCACCAAAAACACGGCCAATCTTAGATACCCTTCCAAAATGCAACGTTTTCGCTGGTTAGTATATATGGTCCCGTCCTCCGTCTCTCCATCCCCCCTCATCGGTTGGGGGGGGGGGCCACTACCAGCCACAGGGGGGGAACGGGGAAGATCTCATATGGGTGCAGTACATGGAAGCATGCAAAAACGAAGACATAGGTATGAACATACAAGGCCACTACCGGCCACGGGGCGGAGGGGGAAGATCTCATATGGGGGCATATAAAAAAACGTGTATATATATATACATATGTATGTATATATTTATATACATGTGTATATTTTAATATAATATACATATGTATGTATAATATACACAACATATATATATATATCATATATATATATATATAAATTATATATGCCGTATATAAAGCAAATACTGTACGTACCTAACACTACTAAATATTGCATACAGAAAACCGGGCGCTAATACCTATATAATAGACCTAATACTACACACCTAATAGATACCTTGTATAACCCAATACATACCTAATGTACTACGCACTGCATGCATATATATATATACATATATATATATACATACCTATATGCCTACATTGAATACAACAGTATGTAATTCCCAATACTATATACTATACACTCCTGATATGTGTTGCCTACCAACTTACAAAACTACCACCCTCCACCACCACAGCCATTACCACAAGGGAGGAGGGGGGTACACCACCCCCCACCACCACAGTCATTACCACAGGGCGGCAGGGGGGGTACCCACGAGGCAGGGAACAATTGGGATAATGCGGCTTACAGCTTGCAGAATGTATTTCAAAAGGAAAGGAACTTAGATTTCGTTCACCTAGGAGTTTGTAGTTACAAAGCGTATCAACTAGCATGCGAGTTGTGTGCGTGTGTGTGTGTGTATCAGCGCACGGAGAACATGCATTCCAGCTACAGTGGCATTGTCTTGCAAAGGTTGCGTACGCGCGATCATCTTGCTTTTTCAAGCCCCTTGCTTTTCTTGAGGACAGGAATTGAATCACCCAAATGAGAACAAATTGGGCCCCAGCAACTCAACTGGTGAACACAGTGCGCTTGAGACTTTTCTGGGTTACGCATTTGCATCATTTTTGTTCATCGCAACACGTGCCTCTTGCTAAGCAGACGCTGGCCGCTAGTGTTCTAAGTTGACCCGCGCATTGCGTGCGCTAAGCTAGCTCCAACAACTGCCACGAACCTGTATCGAATCAAGTACACCCTGCCCGAAGCCCATGCCAGGCGTTTTCCAACACATGAGCTGGCAGGCTAGAGTTGGAAGATTGTGTGATGAAGACGAGGAAGCCCATTCGAGCCTGTTGTTTGTTTCGTGGTCAAAGCTGTTTTGCTCAGGAACTTAATAGGCGTGCTTGGGACTGGCTCACTGACAACATTTGCGCATGAGGCGACATGCCTTTGCTTTGCTTTGAGCCAAAGCAGAAGCCAAGCCAGACTCAAATCTTGCTTCTTCTGCTATGGCATGAAATTTGCAAGTCTGATCAAATGTTCATCGCCACCGAGGGACACTGAAGTTTTTAGGGGTAAAGTCAATCCAAGTGAAGGGCAGATTCATTTCAAATGATATCACATATCTCGCTCTTAGCCTGTGAGTGCACCTTAGCCTTAGTCCTGAATATTGATGAATTCGTTCAGATGGCATGTTTGGCTCTTACCGGCCTGTCTTGCATGCTTTTAAATCATGCACCCGACTCCTGAACATAGAAGGCTCCACTCCAGCGCCAAGCGGAAAATCAAAAGACGCAATGCAAGGCAGCTTTTGAGTTCAAATTGTGCACATTAATGCCAACACTTATGTACACCTGCCCCTAGGCACACGTGAAAGTGAGAATGGCGTGCGAAGCATTTTGGCAGCAAGCTTTTGTAAATTAGTGGCTGGGCGCTTGGCTATGATTTTTTCACTTTGTGAGATGCAGCCCGTCGCTGCTACTCTATGGGCAAGCTAGCTTTGGCTTTGCCTTTGCACGCACACCCTGCCCAGCCGTCCGTCGTCCATAGGCCTGTGCCTATGTGCTTGCTAACACATGACTGGACGACATCTGTCTTGCACCAGGTGAGTACAGAGACGTGTTGTGCGCAATCAGTTTCGACAAAACAAGAATGTTTAACTTGAGGGAAGGTGTGCTCTTGTGAAGGCTCTGCGTTTGACGAAACCTGTTGTTGATCTCTGCGTGCAGGCTTTCATTGGAAGTTGTCCCAGTTGGCAGAAGCAAATTGTCCGCTTTTGAAAGCCTAGACCTGACACGCAAATTGTTGAAGAGCCATCCAAGGCGGTCCGGCTTTGTCGCTTTCCCAAGCAATCCAAAATCTTTCGGGCCTTTGACTGGGCCATGGATCCATCCATAACCTGACTCCTCAGAACGCGCTCGCGAGCTGACAATTGTCCATCTTCCGCGCCAGTGAAGAACGCACCCCAAGTTGCAGGTGGTGGCATAGATTTGCTATGGCCGAATTCGGCTAAGCATGTGCAGAGTGTGGCAGATCCTGCTGTCCTTTTGCGTGCGGATGCAGATTCAGAATGCATGGCCAAACGGACAAGATCTAAGGACATGCCAACCAGATTCGGCAGTGTTTCCTTAAGTTCCTCCAGCAGCTTCATACTCGGGGCATCTGTGGCCAAATACTCGATCTGATGCAAGTCTGAGGCACATTGTTCTCCAGGCCCCTCCTTAGGTCAGCAGCACCCTCTCCGCCCTCTCCTGGCGCAACAAACATTGCGACAACTGTGCCTGCTTTGCCACGAACAGTGATAACCCTCCGAATGCTTTCGTCATGCTTGAAGCAACATTTTGCCGTGATTCTTTGCTCATGTTGAAAGGTAGCTGCCCCATGATGCTAAGACATAAACGAAAAGTGCTATCAATAGAGATCGCAGTGAACTCCCCGTGCGACACGCACTCTGCTAGGATTGGGTTGCGAAGTTCAATGGCTTTGTCTGACATGAACAAATCCTCAATCAGCGGCCACCCGCGAGAAGTGTGGGATGGCAACAGGTTGACCAAGGCAGAGCCGGCCCTAACTGCGTCCAGCATGACGCTTTTTACCTAGCAGGACAAAAAAGGATTGCAGTTGCAGCAGTCAAAAAGCAAGAGAAAGGAAGACCCACACCCAGCATTCATTAACAACAGACGACTTCAAGTGGATCAAGCCTTGGCATGATGCAAGATCTCTTGCAAGGTTTGCTCAGCAAATTCCTTGGTGTAGTAGATGGTGCCAACCCAAGGAATGAAAAGGTCATGGCCAACACTGCTTTCACTGACAAACCAAGGACCTGCAAGCGAACGGGCTGTTTCTTGAGTCATTGTGCACACTTTGGTTCAAAGGGTGAAGTTTCATAAATTTCACCGTCCACTGGCATATTCCATGTGTTTGAGAATGGGGCCCCGCCGGCCCCGCAAAAAAAGAAAAAAAACTATAACCTACCACTGACAAAAGCACGGTAGCTCCACAATCAAGCACAAGCCGGATGATCTTGTCGATGGAATTCAAAGATGAAGGCAGAGGGGGCTGAACTTGGTCTCGCAACAAAGTGGAGCTTCGATGCAGATAGTTGCCACGACGAGTCCCAGAGATCATGTCGGAGTCATGAAGCGATAGAATACATTTCACTTCATTTGTGCCCGAGCAACAAATTGATTTTCTCCAAACCACTGTGAACCGTATTATACCTATTATTCCCTCGTACGGGGTACCCACCCCATGTGGGGGAGGCGGGGTGGTAGGGCCTGCAGCGTGTATATATATATATACATACATACATACATATATATATATTGTATTATATATAATTATTATTATACATATTATATATATTATAATATATATATATACTATCATAAACATTAAAATATATATCCATTATATTATCATATATATCACACATTATATATATTATAGATTATATGTAAATATATATTATATTATATTATATTATATCATATAATATTTTTCAAATCATAGTAAATTATATTATATACTATATTAAATATGTTCATGAATATATATTATATATATATATTATTATAGTTGTATTACATTGTATATATATATATCTCATAATACATATATCATATACATTATACATATTATATTGCATAAAATTGAATTATATTGTATATATATATATATATTAAATAATATATTATAGAATATATGTATAATATAATATATGTATATTATTGTATTTTATTTTTAATGTATTGTATTATATTATATTATAGTATATTATATTATATTATATTATATTATATTACATTATTATTTTATATATTTATATCATTATATATATTACATTATATATAGTATATTATTTACATTAAATTATATATATATTATATTATATACATTATATTATATACATTATATTATATTATATTATATTATATATATATATTATAAACTATATATTATATGTTCATTATACATTAATATATATATAATCTGATATATATATAATATTTGATGTTATATAGTATAATTTAATTTAATATAACATAATATAATATATATATATATATCATTATATATATATATATTATATTATATATTTTATAATACAGAATATATAATATAATATAGTCACTAATATATATATATATGATAACTATCATTAAATTATATACCCCAATTGTTTCAAAATATTATATAAAGCTAACGCCCTAAAGTACACATCCTGTTGGTTGTTGATTGACCTAGTGGCCTAGTGGACACCTGGGCCCATTGGGTCCCGCCTGTATGCACCAGTGCTGGCTTGAGCTCCTTGAGAAACTTTTTGGTGATGGTGTCCCTACTGGCCGTAAGCTCCGAACTTAAGATCCGGTTTTCACCCAGCACCAAGGTACCAGGGTTTCCATGGCCACTGATGGTCACATGTTTCAGGGCCTTTCCATCCTTCACAAAGTCCGGATCATTCTTCACCTGGGGGTGAGAACCTTTGGAATCCCGTGCTTCGAAAAGCACAAAAGAGCTAGGATATGATATAGATGCTCATACCCCAAAATTGATGGGAAATCCATGAGTATCCATCCCCACCTCCTTCACAAACTCTGTGGCATCCGCCACGCTATTCACACGTTTGTAGATCACATTGTACAGCGAACTCATGCGCAGCATGCGTCCGCACATGTTCCATAAGCCACCATTAGTGCTTCCACCCTCCAGGCTGGCAAAAGCACCATTGTGATCTCCCGCTGCTGAAGTCATGATGTACAAGGCCGTGAATTTCGATGTGGGATGTTTGTAGGATAAAGCACCATCAATGTTTTCATTTCCACCATAGAAGCGGCTCTTGAACCTGGTCACAACAAGATATGAAGGGCCTGAGATGAAGCCATTTGAAGTTGGGACGGAAGGTCTATATTTGAAACCACCAACCAGAATAACATGAAATGACCAGAACCTAACATACCTAAAATGGTTTGACGCATGACGACCAGAATAGAGTAGCAGTTGGACACCTCCGACAATCTCCGCAATCACTAAGAGATCGGGTCAAAGATGGCAAGAAGAAATATGTATGTCGATGGGAAAACCATCCATAAAGGGGATATTATATAATTAAGAGGGTGGAAATTTCATGAAATTTCCATTCCCAGCTTAGACTTCCAGAGGCTTGTCAACAGAATATACCAGAATATCTAAATCACCACAAAAACACTTCCGAAGAACAGAAAAAACTATCAGAAACATGGACCCGGAGACTCTTTCAGCTGCTCCGGAGTGCACCATCCTTCCCTTTGTCCACTTTGTTGAAGGAACCTGCAGGTGCAACTGTGCAACCAGCAATGCTTTCAGTGAAACATCACCTAAACATGGGTTTTCAAGCATGTCCAACTTAGCTTGCCATATCCTGTAACAGTCTGTGACTTGGTTGTTGCAAGTGCCTGGCATCTTTCATATCTCGTTTCGCCATGTAGTCCTTGAAGACTTTGCCAAATCGCATGGCTTCTTTAGTAGACATCAGTCTGCGGGACACCATGGGCATCAGGTTCTGTGGAAGCAAAGTCTTCTTTCCTGGAAAGGTACTGAACCTGTACCTGCCCAAATTCTGGAAACGCTGCATCTGGTGGAAATCTCTCATCAAGTTCGGCTTCATGGCGGAATTTCGCAAATGCAAGTTGCGTTGGTGCACCCTGAAGAGGTTTTCGCGATACATCTGACTCATTTGATTTATCCTGCCGACCGAACGAGCCACTCCTTTGAACATCTGTTTGGTCCCCTGAGGGATAAACTCATCTTTTGCTCCGTGAAGACTGCGTGAGTCTCGCTCAACGACTCGATATGAATAGCATTTGAGAGGCAAAAGGCACAGCAATGCGAGACCACGGCAAAGAAGCGCCATGGCAAGCCCAGATCAGGGGCATGATTTGCTTCACAGCTGGTGGCGGCGGTCGAAGGAGATCTGATCAAAAAGTTTAACTCTCGACCACTGAACCTGCAATTTTTGAGATGGACTTTGGGGTCGCCTCAAATAACCCTGATCTTTACATATCTTATTATATTTTTGGAAGTCTACCAGATCACCTGGACCTTTACCATTTAGCCACCACCCCCTTCTTAGGCTCCAACCTCGATGTAGCGGTTGCCAATCTTTTGACGATCCTCCCGATGGATAGCGGTGACACAAAGGGGACCATCGTCCAAGAGCCACCTCTGCTGTGTATACCCTTTAGGAAGTGGCCTTCTGCGCAGCTTCTTAAGATGTGCCCCAACTATCCCCAACTGTTGTTTTTAAGAAATCTCATTCATGACTGGTTACAGTCACCTCATGTTGATAGAAGCCAATAGTTACAACATGCTGAAACCCTATGTTGATGCTTGTAACATGTACATGGCCCTGTTTTGCTGGCTACATAATCATTTTGTGTCAATTTACCACAATCGATGGATTGGTTGAATTGAAACTTGAACCCAGAAACCATCCAGAATATTTGGGTAAAACTATGTAAAATCGACCATGATTTCACAAAATCACCGAATAACCATTCAATTCACATCGACATGTTTTATGCTCTTTTTTCCGAGACATCTGCAGTCCGAAACCCTTGGTAATTAATGGTGTTTAAACTACAATGGTAGAATCCACCAAACACCGTTAAACCATGGTAAACCATAATCTATGGTCATGGTTAAATGATGTTTAATGGTGTCCTATGGTAGTTCTACCCGCCCTTCCCCATGGGGCACCACTGGGCACCTTAGTCATTCTGGCCTGAGCAGCCATGGCCTGAGCGAAAAAACACGACCGTTTTCTCCCTGTTTTTACGGGGGGTTGAAAGGAGACATGGATTGCTTTTTTACACGGCGATATTGTATGATTTTATGGATTTTTTATGGATATTCTAGGACTGTTAATTGACTTTTAATCCCATCCCCCTAATCTTGAACAATCCTGAAACTTTTGCCCCTATGTGTAAATCCTATACCAAAGCATGGTTTCTGGCGGGTTCATATGAGGGGAATGGCACTATACGAATTGGGCATAGTCTCCCGGAAACTGCACTTCTAATGGGGGAAAGATGAGGATCAACCATTAAATTCGGTATATCCTATTTGCAAACTAACCCAAGAAAAGTATCATTAAATCTCAATCATAATTGTGATACTGCTATATAGATTGATATGAATTGCTGAGTATTATCACCATTCTGTTTGTCTGGTGGGTTCCGGTGGGTTCCCCTGTGGTTGATCAGATTCCCATGGGTCAACATTGAAGACATCCCAAAATTCTGGTCCCAGGTTCACTTCAGAAATTTTGGTCCAAATTTAAGCCCAACATCTTTGGTCAGTAGTTAACATCTCTTCTTGGGCTTCGCAATTTAGATCCATATCCATATGATTCCATAATATTCCATATGGGTTTGTCTGAAAGCCATGGGAAAACACCCCAACAAAATCATGGTTGAGAAAGTCTGCTGGCAATCAATTGGAAGTCTATAAATCATCCAATTTGAACAAACCCGTATAGCGGCATAGCGATAGCAAGCGGGTATAGAGCTATAGTTGCTGGCGTTTGATTCCAGCTTATGGTGGATAAAACCATTCTCATGTGGGGATGCGTTACATGTTGAATGACACCCAAAACGGATGGTTTGATACAAGTAGGGAAGGATCAACAAAATCCATAAATAGGGGACTTGACCAGTCACAATGGAATTCAACAATCACTAATGGCAATGGATATGGTTTGTTCAGAAATGGGGATCTGCCCCTGAAATTTTGGAACTTCCGGGTGCCCTGTTTTTTTGGACGACCCATATGATGTTGGACTAGGATATACACCAAGAAAGAACAATATGTAGGAAAGATATCATATATTATGCAATAAATTGTGATGTAGTAGAACAAACTGCAACAGTACAAGAAGCTTCGGGAACCCTCGAAGATATTTGCTTGCAAGTGTACACAAGTAGTTACACATTTAAGAAAGTACCAATACGAAGTATGCCGGAACACACACGGCAATAGAACTGATAGACCTTGTGAAAATAGGGGATTCAATCAACTGTTGCTGGCCAGTGGTTGAGCCGCCCTGCAAATATGTATATTATATAATATGTATATATATATATATTATTATATATATATAGTCCCTGGACCGTCCATCACCGCTGGATGTTCGGATATAAATTAAAACCTAGAAACCAAGCATTTGCATAGGTTTATACCCCTGTTCCTATCTATGATAACCCTGTTTTCAATGATACACAACCCACATTTTGGCCAATCAGATCCCAATATTTGACGGCTAAATCATGTAAAATCCCTATTTTTCACGATCAAATCGAGGTTTCCTGAAATGGTAGTACCCCCAAATCATCCATTCTAATCGGGTTTTCCATTGCACCACCATTTCTGGAAACCCCTAAATTGCCAGCCTCTGAAGAGAACTGCACCCACGCTTCGCCCGAGGGTCGACCGGTTTGTCCTGCGAACCACTGAAGGGAGGATTAGCCGCCACCAAGAAAGCCATTGCCCTACAGTAAACTAGTATATGGATATGATATGATTCACTATACTATGGAAAACAGTATATGGTAGAAACTGCTGTATATCATATCTAATGACTATTCTGGAAAGCTATGCTACATTATATCATATTATATCTACTAAAGATTATATGTAGGTCCAGTCTCCATGTGGCATGGACTTTGGTGAATCGTGCGAGTCATCAAAGCACGGAAAACTGGGCATGCACCAGCCAACAATGAAGAATCTTCAGTAGTACTGGTATGACCAAATGATGGAGATATTCATATAAAACGTACACTATACTATCTGCATATACATTACATTACATCGCATCACATTACAGTACATGACATGACATTACAATGCATTCCAGCACATTACAATATACAGTACATTGCATCCATACTAGCTTGTTGTAAAGACTGTAAATCTAATATATATTTTTTTCTGATGGAATGGTGCGCTTTGCTATCTCGTTGGGGTTCCCTTCCGCACCCGTCAACCCCCCCCAAAATCAGGGGGCTGTCGCACCTTCGGCGCCCATGATCACGTGCTCAGGTGCCACCTGGGCACGGCTGTCTGGATTGACGGCAACTGTCAGAAATGTCAGCAAAACTGTCAGGCTGATAGATACCGTATATATATATATATAAAAATGTCATTGAAACAAATAGTAACATGTTAATCAAATTGACGATATATATATATATATATAATTATATATTATTGTGAGAGAAACTGTCAGAATAAAGTTTCGAATATGTTATACATATGTCAGAAACTGTCAGAGGATATCGCAGAATGTCGCAAAATATGCCAGCATTTTGTCAAGATGTTTGTGGCACTATAGGGATCACAGGAATATGAAAGTGAAAACAATCCATTTTGTTGGGTCGATATATTTTGGTGGCCAGCCAACATGGGATCTATTCGAGAATCGGGCATACGGTATGGTATACCCCAAATTTTGCAAATTTGAATTGGAAAAGATCATGATGATCTGTTGGAATTCATATGGGTCTGGGTTGATTTTCCCAGGAGTTGTAGGAAACCCAGGGTTTCTTCAAAGAACATCACCGGGATCATCTGTGGCTCATTACACTGCGTAACTCTCCCCCAGTCCCGAGGTTACCCTATTTACACAAGTGGAGAAACAAGATCTATATGTATAATATATATATAATATATATATATATAATATATATAATATGTATATATATATATATGTATATATGTATATACTGTCTGGGGTACTCATGAATCCCACCTATAAAGCACCATGATCCTCCAATTATCTAAATCTCGGGGGAGTCCTGCTAAGAAGGTTTCAGCGTTTCAGCTCCATCCCCCGGGCTTGGGGTATTTTAGCTTCAGAAATGGCAGAGTGCAGCATGTCTTGGGAAATCCCTTGTAAACATCTGTAAATGGTGGGTATGGGTGCAGCAAGCCATGCTTGATTAGCTGAGGGTATGGGTTTGTCTGCCAGTAGGCTACCAATGTTTTATTTACACCTCATTTTCCCCATTCAAATGGTGAAAAATTGCAAGGTACAGTAGATTCCACATTTTTAGACACACCCAAATATCAAACGATATTCTTGGTCATATTACAGTACCATTTTATATATCCCCAGTACTAAATTCATCACGCTAGCTATAGGGCTATATCCCATATAACTATACTATATAATACATAATTATACATCTGTATATATATATATATATATCAATTGTATATCCGTATATCCCCATTATATCCTCCCACTTCATATTCCCATTACATCCCCACAAAATGCTCAGCGTATACCAGCTTTTGTTCAACGAAGCCAATAGCTACATCCCCATGATCTTCCCATTGGCCATGAAACCCCATTAAACCTTCGAATTCATCATCTCAAATATGAATGATATTCGATCTTCCTTCGATGGCGCCCAGCCGTGACGAACCCTGCTAAAATGAAAAACATAAAAGCTACCAACAAATCAACCAGCCACTGAAATCCAATTTGGGGGTTTCCTAAAATGGGGGTACTGTACCCCTAAATCATCCATTTTAATCGGATCTTCCATTATCGTTATAAACCATCCATTTTGGGGTACCCCCATGTATGGAAACCCCCATTTACAGACCATTGTTCTAAAAGTCTACCCATCATTTCCTGCAGGCTGCGCCAGTTTCGCCCGAGCCGCCCCATACTCTGCAAAGAAGGCAGCCACATCCTCCGGGGAAGAGCTGAACGGCAGCCTCGCTGAAGCTCGGGAGGAATATTGGGCCCAATGTGCCCATGCTTTACCAACTTGGTGTATGATTTATGGGATGGATAACTAACAAAAAATATGCGGATAGAATGGGAATGAATGGGCTGTTATATAATGGGGGATAACCAACAAAATGTATATACATGGCTCAGCAGTGAGCATTGCTTCTATCAATGGGTATATTAACCAACAAATATGTGGATTTAAATGGATTTCATATTACTTAATGATGATTCAGTGATTAAGCAACAGCAGCATGTATTTTTGGGATACATGCTGATGTATGATTCACCCCACTGGGATTGAACCAAGCATTTTATGGGGATCTATGGGATTTTTTTCGGGGAATACACTGGTGAGATCATGGGGTTTAACCGTTTTAACCCCCCACAAGTTGGGACCTATGTATTCAGCAGATCATCTAGAAATTGCTTGTTTTCCATAGGTCTTTTAGAAACCGTCTTGGGCAAAATGCACTGCGGTTTTACCATCAGCATTCCTATCACGGAAAACCGCTGTCGTATATTCCTTACGAAGATCCCATGGAAAAAGTACTTGAAGAACCGCATTCTACTTACAAGCTGCAACCGTACTTTGAGACTGTGATAGTGATTCGTAATTCTTTCAAGAAATAATATTCCTTCAACATATTATGTCATATTATGTCTTATTCCTTCGAAGAGGTGCAGGTTATTCTTCCAAAGATTCCTTGGAATATTGCACATCTCCAATTCGGAATACCGCCTTCGCTTCATGGAAAAGATTCTTGAGAGGATAGTTAAAATCTGGATAGACATTCTGCTTGGTCTGCAGGTTGCAATTAAGCTATGTTTTCACAAAATCTGAATTTCTGGATCCAAGACTAGCCCTTCAAAAAATCGTGCATTTCTGAACACCAAAGATATTTGTAGGTTTGAACTTTGAACTTTTGGAAGGGATGTTGAAGGAAGAATTTTCTTCAACAGGCCAGAGGTAAAAGGGCTTGTGAAAAATGGCTTGATGAACAAATGAGGTCTCAGAGGCAAGATCAATCTGCAGAACCAAAGAAAACAAACAACGAACTAATAGTACGTAACAACTAGTCCAGAAGCCATGGTTGTGGAAACTTTCTTGTCTTTGTCAGTTTCCAATCTTTAGGCGTGACATAGGGTCGCAGAATGACAGTATTCCAAATTCTTGGAGCACATGTGTGATGATGGCAGCTTCAGTTTCAACCTGTTTAAATCCCTAGAAGAACGAGTGCATATTTTGGGATTTAGTTTGTTTGTTTTTTTTGGATGTTTTTTTTTTCAGTCTGGGGCATTTGTCCTTGCTATTTGCTACATGTTGGAGCAAAAACCTGTACTTTGCTGAATTTCGGAGCTAAAATTTGCCATCTGCACTGTTCATCGATTGTTGAAGCACAACCGTGTTGGGTCTAAATAGTGGCATTGAATGCTATCATAGTGTTGGTTGGTTTAGGGTTTATTTAGGCTTGGTTTCGGGTTGGTTTAGGGTTTATTTAGGGTTGGTTGAAGGTTCGTTTAGGGGTTTCTTTAGGGTTGGTTTAGGGTTTCTTTAGGGTTTCTTTAGGGTTTATTTAGGGCTATTTAGGGTTATTTAGGGTTATTTAAGGTTATTTAGGGTTATTTAGGGTTGGTTTAGGGTCTGTTGAGGGTTGGATTAAGGTACATGTAGGGGATACAAGGTGTGTATAGATGGATGGATGGATGGATGGATGGATAGATAGACAGATAGATAGATAGATCGATCGATAGATCGATAGATCGATAGATCGATAGATCGATCGATCGATAGATCGATCGATCGATCGATAGATAGATAGATAGACAGATAGATAGATAAGATAGATAAGATAGATAAGATAGATAAGATAGATAAGATAGATAAGATAGATAAGATAGATAAGATAGATAAGATAGATAAGATAGATAAGATAGATAAGATAGATAAGATAGATAAGATAGATAAGATAGATAAGATAGATAAGATAGATAAGATAGATAAGATAGATAATAGATAGATAAGATAGATAAGATAGATAAGATAGATAAGATAGATAAGATAGATAAGATAGATAAGATAGATAAGATAGATAAGATAGATAAGATAGATAAGATAGATAAGATAGATAAGATAGATAAAAGATAAGATAGATAAGATAGATAAGATAGATAAGATAGATAAGATAGATAAGATAGATAAGATAGATAAGATAGATAAGATAGATAAGATAGATAAGATAGATAAGATAGATAGATAGATAGATAGATAGATAGATAGATCGATCGATCGATGATAGATAGATCGATAGATAGATTAGATAGATTAGATAGATTAGATAGATTAGATAGATTAGATAGATTAGATAGATTAGATAGATTAGATTAGGTAGATTAGATAGATTAGATAGATTAGATAGATTAGATAGATAGAATAGAATAAAATATAGAGTAGAATAGAATAGAATAGAATAGAATAGGATAGGATAGGATAGATAGATGGGTGGATAGATAGATAGGTAGGTAGATAGATAGATAGATTGGATAGATAGGTAGATATTTAGATAGATTAGATTGGATTAGATAGATTAGATAGCTTAGATAGATTAGATTAGATTAGATTTGATTAGATTTAGATTAGATAGACTAGATAGATTAGATAGATTAGATAGATAGTTCAGATAGATTAGATAGATAAGATAAGATTAGATAAGATTAGGTCAGATTAGGTTAGATTAGACTAGATTAGGTTAGATTAGATAGATAGATAGATAGATAGGTAAAGCATGGTAGAGCCACAAACGCGTCACGCCCACAAAGCCACAGAAGCCACAAAAGCCACAAAGCCAGGCTGGAAAACAAAAAAAACAAAACAAAATCCATCAAACAATAGCCCTCCTTGAAGAACTCCGTAGCCTATACCACAATGGAACGAGATACTGCTGGCCCAATCCGAAATCAGCTAAAGGTGAACCAACGAATCTCCGCTCTCATCAAGCTGTGAACTGCTGTCAACTGGGATCATCCCAAGTAAATGCAAGAAACAAAAACATACAAACAATATATGTATACATATATGATCTGTAATTACTGTCCACAAAGGTAGTCATTTACCTAGCTATGTTTGTAGGATGTTCTTACATATTCTTAGATCCTTTTGGGCTTACGGTATTTAGAAACCCATGATCTGCTTCAACACAGCATCCCATCGCACCCTCTCAGCCGAACGAAAGCAGCGCCACCAACACCGTAGTCACCTTGGCTCTAACGACTCGAGTCGCAGCTTCGGCAAACCTCGAGAGGTCTGTGGTATGCCATAAAGCATCTCTAATGTCACCAGAAATGGGTGGTATAAACCCTCCAAAAATGGAGGTTTATTCAATTTGGGTTTACCACATGACAGTGTTTGTTAGTTTTTACACATCCACAACTGATGTCGATCCTTTCAGCTGGATTTATCTTTGTTGGACTCTTGACAGTGTCAAACTTCAAGAAACTTAACACTTGAAAAGTAGCATGGATGTTGAGAAAAATACTAGGCGATCATAGATCTGGATAACCTGAAAAGTTCGCCCATTCGGGGATGATTCCCCTCACAATCCCCATCATTCCAGTGAGGTCGCAGTGGGCTTGCAGTGAGGTCGTTATATGTTATCCAGATAGACGATCCTTTTGAACCAGGTTTCATCATCATGTACCCTCTGGTAATTTAACATAGCTATTGAAAATTGCCCATTCAATTATAGTTGATTTACCTATTAAAGATTGTGATTTTCCATAGCTATGTTAGTTTAACAGAGGGTACCGGGTAAATCTTGACTCACTTTTGACATAGTTCACAGGTCGAGATTCACAGGTCGAGATTTCCCATGAAGCGAATCCTCTCAATCTCCCCAGGCATGATGTGGCCAAGTTGCCAGTTGAAGCCACTGGTTCCTAAGCTGCAGCCAGCGCTTGGTACGGTTGATTTAGCTCATCCAAAACAATGGCTTTCCTGCTGCATAACAAAGACCATGGTGGAACATGTTTTTTTCCACAAAAATAACACACATGCAAAAACATTGGAAAAAACATAGCCATGGATAAACTGCTTCCAACTTGATCGTGCAAACTTCTAACAGCATCACAACACATCATGTTCCTGCTCCAAAAACATAGCTGCAGCCCAAACAAAAAAAAACGTGAGGTCACCAAAAAAGGATTCGTTGGGCCACATTCAGTGACATTCAGTGGGTGGGTGCCCCTCATCTTGGATCTCCATCTCCCTGATATCAACGTGACCAAATGAGGGAAATGGTTATGCAGAGTCACCAATGACCCATCCTAAAACCAAGGCAAAAGCAATTAAGCCATTAATGGTGACCTGCATCATATAGCATCATAAAACACCTGCATTAAAGCATTTCATAAATCCATCAGACCATCATTGACCCATGGCAGCATTATCCACAGCGGCCAGGCTGGTCTTCGCGGTAGTTGGGATGCCCATGGCACTTAAAGCACTTTGAGCCAAGGAGACTCCTGGAGACTGCTGGGAGCATCATGGAGGTAGCTTGGGGTAGAACTTAGTACAACTGAACTGGGGGATATATGTATATACATATTTTTTACATATCATATAATTATGTATACATTTCTAATGACCAACAACAGTATCACCAACTAAGGCTTAAGAAAGAAAGGACACCAACTAAGGCTTAAGAAAGGATGATTAGTATATCCAAGGTTCCTCCATAAGAGTTTGGAAAAAATAACCCATTCACCTACCAGATCAAGTCGTTTTTAGAATCAACTCCAAAAGCTATTATTGGTAGTGTTTAACCCCACTCATGTATATTATATCGTATTATGTGGACATATGTACGTATCATCTATGCATTGATTTCCATATGATTCTGTGATATGTAAGAATATATGATATAGACAGTATATCTGATGAATACATATCTCATAGATATGATATATTCATCTGATAGATAATGATAGATATATCTGATAGACGCATATCTATACAATAGATATCTCCAATAAACATACATAGATATACACATATCCAATAAACAATGGTGTATATATATATACATACCATGTATTGAACCAACAACCAGCAGTAAACCAACACTGCTGCAGTGGCGGCCCAGCACCATTCTCCCTATGAAGGCGATCTCCTCCCAATGGGCTCATCATAGTCTTGCCAAATCCTTTGCCACCGCCACTGCTGCGTGGCGGCCCAGCAGTTCGCGCGTTTGCGTCCTTTGAGACGTGTGGAGAACGTATTGGATCTATTGATTTTGTGGTTCATGTGCGAGGTATTTAGATAATTTAATATTTGGGGGATGGGATTACCACTGCAACAAGATCAAGTTGGATCCAGTTGGGATTGTGGTTACTCTATATATATAATGATAATATAATGTTTGAATTTGACTGGAAAAGCGCGAATCCAAGTTTCCAACAGGTCGACACTGGACACCATGATGCCAACAGATTTTTCGTAGACAAATGTGTATATAGATTGAATCCATCTACTTGTGGCGTTCTCTCCCGAAATTTGAATATGTATGATCATGTACTGTATGTATATAGGCATATAAATATAGATACAATATACAGCAATATCCTGTATATATATATGTGATCTAAGGTCTACTTGTAAGCTAGTATAAGTTAGTGCTCAGAAAATTTATAGGTTTGTGTCTTCCGTCTCCGATGCCGGCGAACGCCAAGAAACGTCCAAGTTGGAGCCTGGGAACGGAGGGACTGGAGCACCGAAAATCCATTGGAGACTAATACAATTTTCTACCTAAACCCTCTAAGATCTCTAAGTAAATAGAAAACTGGCGAATAGTAACCATTAAATTAATGACCTTTGCCCATGTTCATGGATACTTGGAGGGTCTACGCTCTGAGTATATGGGAAAATAAACGTCCGAAATATTTATTATATAGTTATGGCAACTATTCCTAAAGCGTAGATATAGATATATTACAAATTAGGACAAAATAGGGGGTTCAACAACCCAAAGGGGATAAGCTACAAAAGTCAGTCAGGATTTGATCCTTTTACCAGGGATGTGGTTTATTTAAAAATCGGATGCACATGATTACAAAAGACAAAATATGTATACACATGTATAATTGTATACTTATGTGGATATTTACCAGAAGTACGTGGTATCTTGATCTTGCTAAGTGATGCTAGCTCTGGAGTCAGATCCGCAAAAACCAAAACCAGACCATCATCCATGAAAGGAAACCACTGGTTCTTGCAGTCCTTAAAGAAACAGGACACGAAAACCTCTAGAAAGAAATAGTATGGCAATCCATTTCCATCTGTTGACCTTTCACTTTACTTTTGCAAAAAGCAAAGAGCAAAAGGAACGTGCTCTCATCACTGAACATCAGGAAATTGACAAATTTAATCCGCAAGAGCCAAACGACTCTTCAAGGATCCTCCTCTCCGCAATCTTCCGCCAGGGGTATCCCTATCACCGGGACCAATGCGCCAGTGCTTTGCGAGTGGCTGAAGATCTCAATATATCTTCCTCCAATCGACTGTCGATCTTTTTGCCGCCTGTAGCAGGGACGAGTTAATCCACCCGTTTTGGATGGTTTGAATCACCATGGTTGGACATGTTTGGATGCTAAAAATTCACCATTTTCGGATGCTTTTTCTTCGCCATTTGATCACAACAGTTCCGTGGCCAAGTCAACCACCCCGAGCCGTGACTCTCCACCTGGCTTCCTCCGCGCTGCTGGTATCCACAAATTGGACCCAGGCCTGGCGTGAAAGTCTGACGTTATGGTCACCAGAGACCCAGTTTACTAATGTGGATTGTTATGGATTAGTACTATTGATTATTAAAAGATATTAAAAGTAACACCATTGTTGTTAACTAGTGTGATTGCTATATGAATAACACACAATGGTTATGTTATTAATAAGTATGATCCATTTATAGGATGAATCGCCATTGTTATTATTACAATGAATAACACACCATTGTTATTATTAATGTTATACTATGATAGGTGATTAGCAACTATATAATGTGTTTGTTGCTATGTTTAATTCCCTTAATAACTATGATAGTGTTGTTGTTACAATAGTAACAACTGAGTAGAATTATTCTGGGATTCAGCCAAGAAAAACTAAACTTGTTGTTGGTTGTTATTATTTACTAAGAGGTTTCTATACTATACTGATGATGATGTTGTTGTTACAATAGTATCATTTTTATTATGTAGCTATTTGGTAAACAGTATATAGTATTGTCATTATTGTTAACAGCAATCGTAATAATAGTAAATGATGACAATGATGATAATAAGAATAGCAAGAACACCACACACCACTATTAACAAAAAGGAAAGCTTAATAGTAAAAACAAAGGACATGATAGTAAGAATACTGTGCCAATAATCGTAATGGTTGATAATTGTAGTTGTATTAACAAACCATCCCCACACTTAGTTGATGGATTGATTCACGATAGAACTCAGAGGAGTCCGTAGATTTTCAACCCCAAACTCAGAATGTATCCATAAATATCCATAAACCAATTCTGAGAGTTTCCCAAGTCTGGCAGTTGGAGGGTATCTCGCGCTTTTGTCAGTTCATGTTTGGCTTCACAATACTAAAAGCTTTGGATACCCCGCAAAAAGGTTCAATGGTAATAAGCTATACTGCATGGATGGCAAACAGATTTAGGTTATCTGATAAATATTGATGTTTCCATGGCCCAAAAAACCTGACCCATGTGCGAAGCCAACAAACCAAGGTTTATCTGGCTCAAAACCCATGGAATCCCCGGATGAAGACCAAAATAGCTAGGAGCTTTGGATGTTCATCACTACTGGTATCACCCAAAACATGGCAATTCAGAGGTATTGTCTCCCCATATTAGCCTTTCTCCTTGAAACAATCCTCTCAAAAACAGCTGCAACACAGGACAGAGTTGGACTCTCTGTGGAATGGAAGTCCAAAAACCGACAGGTACCCAACTCAAGTCGACAATGTTTGATAACTTCAGGGGTCTCCCCATGATATCCTAATGATGATGCTATCATTAAATCACCATTCTTGATGGTTAAATCACCATGAAATCACGGTGCTGTACCTCTCCACTGGGTCGACCATCAAGGTTCGTTCCCAGGATGACATTGTCCTGGTGGTCGCAGTGGATGCAACTCAGATAGGCCGTGCTTTTGGAACTGAAAACCGAATGAAATCCACAGTTCAAGCCCCAAATTTCGCAGCATGGCGCTTCAAAAATTGCACTCCTCCACTACTCCAAAGTCTCCAAAGAACTCGGAGACCTTGAAAATGGGGGAGTGCACTGAGTGCACCCTCAGAATCCCTGAGAAATGGCCATTCTATTGGTCAAAACCATGATCAACCATGGAATTTTGGGGCACCCTACTTTCAAACAAAGCCATATATGGCTAAGTCACTGCCACTAGCAGCAACTTCAGCCACAACGTTGCACATGAGTGCAGCTAAGGGGGGAATCATCCTAATGTGTTTGGTGTGTTTTGTTGAGCTTGCCCTTTTTAAACTGAATAGCAACTGGCCTTGCAATCTACTGTATATTGGGTCATGACCCCAAATATAAGTGGACCACTGTAAACCTATAAACCTATACTTGGGGTTTGCCAACCAGGGTTCACCAAGTACCGATGTAGCACCTCAGCTGCTCCAGAGCTAAATGGAAGGCCTTGGCCGCGGCTGAGCTCAGTTTCTTCAGCAAATCCAGCGAAAATCGTTCCCAATGCAGGGCTAATCTCTTGGAAGCCAGGTGTACATGGACCCCAACATGCCCCATGATTGGGGGCACTATCCCATTGCTAGGGGTATACCCAACAATAATCCCCAAGTATGGATTGTTTGTTGATGGCTATTTAAAAAAAATGAAATACAAGATAAGATAGAAGAGGGAATCCTTGCTAATTAATATATACACGTTGATGGTCATTCTTGTTGCTATCTCTCCGGGGAAAGGGCAAAGGGGAAAGGTGTATTTACCCTAGCCACCACCCAATGCAGTGTATCCTTGCAACCTCAGCATACCCGGTTTCGGTTCCACCGGATCCAATATCAACTATCAGAGCAAACAGTCTGCTGATATTGATCTATAATAAGATATGGATATCGGATACAGTACCCTCTACCCTCCAAAAACTCAAACTGGCAATGGAAACCTCCCCATGTATGGATTGTATGTTCATCTTTTCGCATTGAAAATGGTGATTTCCGAGCCATCAATGTTCGATTAGCAAGTGGCATATATATATATATATATATCACTTTAGCTTTCAATATCAACCATCTTCTTCCACTCCAATCCAAGCCCCTCTTTTCTATCTGGGCATATCTGAAAATCCGGTACAGTGCCCCATTCCATCCACTGATTTATCATTATTTCTAAATGTACACTAAGCATTATCAGACAAACCCAAAATCATATCAAGTTGGTTGTATAATGTTGT